GGGTATTTCACACAAGGAACAAACACATTTGCACAAATCACAGTGTAACAAGAAAGTCTGCTACAATAAATAGTTGGTCTTTTATTCAACCCAATCTCTTACTACCCCTGTGCCACAGTGATTTGAAGTGGTCATGGTGCTTGGAGTCTGTGTGTGCAGCATTTCGCTTTGAAATGTTGCACATACAGAGATTAACCCCTCACATGCCGGATGTGTCACGCCACCTAGCCGCATCATAGGGGTCTCATCAGCCAGTCCGGAACTAGAGTTCCGCCCTGGCTAATGTGAATTTTGTACAGCGTTCATTGCATAGAATGTCAGTCATTGTCTGTGAGCAGTCAGCTGGCGTCCTCAGCCAATGAATGTTGACTGCCGCAGCTTACAGCTTCTGCAGCTCTTCAGAAACAAGTAGCTGGACCAACAGGGAGTCTCGGAGTCCAGTTTCTCTTACTCTCAGAGCGATGGCATGCCTCATTACTGGGGAACCAGGCCAGGGTAGTCCTGACATCAAAACCATTACAATAAGAGAAAAAATAGGGTTACACTCAATCACAAAAATTAACACAGGGTGCACTGAACATGGGTCAGCAAACCCCATACAATCTACATAAATGAAAAAATCTCAGGCACTCACTGTGATATGTTCAAGGCAGTTTTTAATTGGATCAAAACCATTACAGACGGCTGTAGTGAATATGATGCTTTTTGTACGCCTTTTATTCTCTGCCTATGTATGTGGTAAATTATGCTCTCTCCAGTTTTGTGGTAAATTGCATGTAAAATGTTAAATGAGACCTGCTACAATGATGTACAGGTAAGTACTGCACTACAGTAATGTAAAACATAATGTCCCATAGACATTGTTGTACTGTAGTTCAAGGGATTCCAACATATCACTCATTTACATTGCACTTAACCTCAAATAACTCATCCTCAGTTTAATGCAATTTAGCCCTCTTCTTCTAGCTCTTCCTGTCTGCTGGATATTATAGATGGAAGACGTTTGCCTGGACATCTTCCTTCAAAGGCTTTTTTATGTTAATGTTATGCTATGGAGTCCAGGGCAAGTCTCTACATGTACAACCTTTCAAATTAGCGTTAATCCCTCCATGAACACCATGTTCCCAGTACCCTAGTCCCATCCTGCAGAGGAATTGGTATCATCCTTTGTACCCTAATGTAGTAACAGGCCACAATACAACCACTGTGCTTAAAGCCAGTAGTAGATTGGAAACTGAGTACGGTAATGTTTGTAAATGGTAATAAACATGTTCTAAGTTATCACTTACAAATGGATAAATAAACCCATGTTGGCAGGAATTTGATAGCATATCATAATAGATCATGATCAGGCCCGGACTGGCCATCGGGCATACCGGGCAAATGCCCGGTGGGCCGCGATGGCCGTGGGGCCGAGGCCGGCAGGGAGATCACAGGATCTCCCCGGACGGCCCCTGCAGGGCCAGCGCTACCCGAGCGCCGGCCCCGCTGTGTGCCTCCATGGGCCGGTGGGGAGATCAAAGATCTCCCTCACCGGCCCACAGACAGGGAGATGCGGCCGCCGGCTGGGTGAGGGAGGAGAGAGGACCCAGCGGAGCTCTTACAAGCAGCTCCGCCGGTCCTCTCGCGGGATTCTGAGCAGTGATCTCGCGAGAGTGAACTCTAACCTCCAGGTTAGAGTTCACTCTCACCACTGGACCACCAGGGAAGGCAGCATGGCTCCCACCTCCCCAGGCATAACGGATCTCCTCCTCCCCCTCCCAGGATAAAGGTAAGAAGGCGGGGGTCTGTGTGCCTAGAGTGGTCCTTTAAATCCCCAGAACCTGTCTAGCAGGAAGCAGAACATTTATTTGACGTTTCTTCTATATAACTGAGTATTGTGGAAAACTGAATCATGAGCTTGAATCCTGGCTAAATTGCAGAATGTTTACAAATTCTATATTTGCCTATTTTTGTTTGCCTTGTGAATTCTCCACAATTCTTGATTTTGTGCATAAAGACCTCTTTCTAACCACATTGTTCAAGAGGTTTGTTTTTTTACTGAACATTCTGTACTTGGAGTTCACAGCTTTAGAACCTTATAGGCAGCTTGTCATATCCTCCCACAGATCAACCACTTTATTTCCTCCTATGCAACCTCTATGCTAAACATACAGAACCGTGCAAGGCCGAACTCCTATCAGGCTAATATCAGCCAGCCCAGCACATAAATGAGTTTTAGTGCAGCTGGCGTTCAAGTGGTTTCATATGGCTTTAATAGACACTATAGCCACCCTGACCAATTCTTCTCAATGAAGTGGTCTGGGTGCCATGTCCCTTTTGTTTCAATGTATAGAAAACTGATATCTACGTGTAGAATATGCAGAAAGAAGAGGGAATCAGACCATTTGAGGGAAGCTCTGAAACTGTAAGAGTATAGGGATTCACCAAAAAAACCTATAAGAACAGTATAAATAGGTACTATTGATGGACTTTCACAAAATACTTGCTGTCGAACTAGCTCCAATTAAAAATAACATGAAGGCCATCACAGACCGGCTACAGGCCTCGGAGAGGGACATAGCAGACGTCCAGACACAGGTACATGAACTCCAGACCTCGGTCCAACAAATATGGTCTCACCAAAGAGCTGTCACCTCACACATCACAGCAATGGAAGACTGCCACCGCCGCACCAATGTAAAGATAAAGGGTGTCCCAACTGCAATTACAGCGGAGGAGCTCCCTCACTATGCCAGACGGTTGCTGACTTCCCTCCTGTCCCCTGCGGTAGCCAAAAAAATGAATCTGGAAGAAATCTACCACCTACCAGGGCCCAACGGGACATCGACAACGGCACCAAGAGATGTGATACTAAGGTGCGCCACAACACACGATAAAATACTCATAATGTCAGCACTTAAGGGCAAAACTCCCGTGCAATTTGAAGAAGCCTCCTTGACATTTTACCAAGATCTCAGTAAAACTACCCACCTGTGGCTAAAAACGTTCCAACCGGTGACCAGCCAGCTTCAATCAGCTAAAATAAGCTATAGATGGGGAGCAAACGGATCCCTGACAGTATCCAGAAACGATGGCGTACACACGCTCACCTCTATGGAAGACACTGTACCATTCCTGACTGCCCTGGGACTGGCACAGCTACCGGACACCACGAGACGGAGAGCCTTAACGTCAACCTGGGACCCAGCGCATACAACACCCTTCATCCCGAGAATGGGGAATGAGAGGATGGCAGAACCGGGAACAAGCACCCGCGAGGACCCAACCTAAGACAACAGCCCGGCCAAAGACCAGCCAGCCACACCAGCCGGTCTCTAAGCTCACCTTGGGACTGTCTGCTCAGGACATTACGTATAACCCAATGTTCTCCCAGTTACTCCCCCCCCCATACCCTACACCAAGGACTGTGCAACTGTTTAACCACTCACATAACAGAGCACCGCAGACACGCAGGCAATCACACCTAAGGTTGGGGACACAACCAGCGCTATACCCCCTATAACGGGGAACAACAGCATCCCACCACATTCACACATGAGGCAACCGCCAAACTTCTCACACACCCACCACCCCCCCCCCCGCAGCTCCCATGGTCAGGAGCCACTACAAATGAAACAAGGCGTACTTCATATACCCAACACCTCCCCGGGACTCACACAGCATAGCCCATACGCCTTGTACCGAAGAGGCTACATAACACGCTACACCACAAGCCCATAGACTGAACGAACAAACCATAGGATCCTCTACGAGCAACCACAGCCACCGACTCTCACCCATAGATCAGCTAGAACACACCACACTCAACCACCTCAGAACAGAGGGACGATACAATAGCGATCAAGGCCTACACAAACATGTTACAAAAAATAAAATAGTGCAAGAATGTGTTATGACCCTGCTAACACACAAATTGTATAAGTTCCTTTTAACGAATGCTGTAATGACCATGCTTTGCACTGAAAAATAAAGAATTTTAAAAAAGAACAGTATAAATAGGATGTAGATGCTATATAGAATAGTTACAGTTATCCAGGAGCTTGCTGATAATATAAATATAATGTAGGAGTGAGGAAATTTTGTCAGAGGTGACAAACTGTAAGATTTCAATAGGATATGTGGGGGGAAAGAATACACATAAATGCCTTAAAAGTCTTACATTAAAAATCCAGTATGACTATAGAGAGGACTGTGTGGCATAGGTATCCTTAACCCTAGTCAAATAAATATTCCAAATATTCCTTCTTTCCAAATGTTATACAGTTATAAGAATAAAAGATACAGTAACCAAATGGTATAGAGATGCTTAAATTGTATCTACTATCATCAAGCAAATCTAATACTCGTTAAAATCAAGCATATCCAGTACAGAGAACTGGTTGCAATAGGCAATATACAAATATATCGCTAAAAACAACGGAGAGTATAAAAAACGGTTTATTTCCAAAATATTACAAATGAAGTTAAAAAGAAGTCCACAATTTATGCACCAGTCAATTAAGGGTAAAATTGCAAAACAACCTCACAGGCTTGGATGGATGTAGATGTTATTCGTGATCCTGTCACCCAGATTCTGATCGCCGGTGAGGACGGCGTGCATGCCACAGTACGTTCCACCTCGAGCCTCACTTCAGGGGATCAGCACTGCTCGTAAGATGATGGTGATAATGTGCCTGGGTTCCGAGGTGAGTATGATTTCCTGCGATGATACCCTGGCTGGCTGGAGCTGTGCGGATTTTTCTTTGGGCTCTCTGACGCGTTTCGTAGGGGGTAGCCCTACTTCCTCAGAGACATATAGGTTAGCCTTAACATGAGGATGTATAGTATCTACACCCTTTTGTTTCAACCCTGCAGTAGAAAACATTGCCCTTCTGCAGGAACCAGTCATGCAGAGAGCTGAGCGGCGTGCGATAAAAGATCAGTAAAAAATGTCAGTCCCTCTTTAAAAAGGACACTATAGCGTTAGGAATATACATTTGTATTTTTAACGCTATAGTGTTCTTTTTAAAGAGGGACTGACATTTTGTCTAGCCTCTGAGTAAATTTTTACAAGATTGCTTAATGGGTTACTCCATGACTAGGTCTGCTTTAAGAAGTGCTCATTAAAGGGACACTATAGGCACCCATACCACTTCATCTCATTGATGTGGTCTGGATGCATAGTCATTTTAGTCCTGCAGCTGCAAACATTGCAGATTCAGCCAAACGGCAATTGATTAATTTGCAGGATTAAGTCTGCCTGTAATGGCTGTCTACCAGAGTGACACTATAATGTTAGGAATACAGTTTTATATTCCCTCACTGTAGGAATCTCTATGTGCAGCGTTAAAGCCTGATAGCAGAGTAATCTGCACTTGTGTGCTGGGGGCTAATTTCACCATCAGCACATGTGATTTAGGGACTCCCTAATGTCAATTCTGTGCACAAATTATACCTGTAGCTAGCACACACTGCACACTGGCAACATAAGTTCCCACCTTCTTCACTTCAGGCAGTGTGTTAGTGCACCTGCAAAGTGAAGCCCTCTTTCACCTTCACATTATAGTAAACTGAGCCCTCCCAATGTGTCACTTTCCCTCAATTCCCTTTTATTTGCATTAGTTTCCTGAGATCAATTTCTGTGCCACCTTCCCTCCGCGTAGCTCTCCCTTCTCACATTTCATTGGACCACAGGCAGGGCTGGACTGGAGAAAAAAATTGACCCGGGCATTTTTGAATCACAGTGGGAAGGGATGGGGGGACTGTTGTCATCATCAATGATGAGCACGCCCCCTCAAATCTTCCCATGTGCAGAGCCCTGCTGAAGAGCTCTCGAATTAAAAAAAAAAGGCCCTGTATTTGTTTTTAACAGCACAAGTGAATTTAATGGCATGCTTAGGCTGCGTTTGTTTGTGACTTGTTTCCGGTGTCTCCATACGTGGGATACCAGAGGACAAAAGGACCAGGAAAGAGTATGGTGCATGTGTTTGGAGGCTGCTTCTGGGATAGCGTGTGTAGAGTGAGCTGATTGTAGTGTTTGTGGTGTAATATATGTGGCATGGGGCTATATAGGTGCTGTATTGCGTGTCAGGAATTCAGTTAGTGTGTGCATAGGGGCTGTTGTGTATAGGTGATTTAGTGTGAAGCAGGGGCGTACCTAGAGCATTTGGCACCCGGGGCGGATCCTGTGCTTGGCACCTCCCCATCAAAAACCCTGTAAAGGTTTTGTTTTTTTTTTTACAATTTGTAAACTTTGCAAAACCGCTGTCAGCCCCTCCTACAAAACCCTTGTCCTGCCCCGCCCCTCCTACAAAACCTCTGTCCTGCCCCTTCTACAAATCCTGTACTGCCCCGTCTACAAAACCCCCGCAACCCCCTTCCACAAATCCCCTGCTTATCCCCCCTTATAAAGACTCCTGTCCCAATACAAAACCCCCGCCCCCTTCTACAAAATCCCTGCAGCCCCACACACACATTTACAGGCAGACAGTCACACACTCAGTTACAGGCAGACAATCACACACAGTCACAGGCAGACAGTCACACATACACATTTCCTCCGTGCGGCCGCACGGCACCCTAACTATCATGGGACACTGTGCGGCCACAGCTCACACAGCCCCCTCCAGCCAGGGCCGGTGCAAGGATTTTTGCCGCCCTAGGCAAAAGTAAAGTTTGCCGCCCCACCCATATGATTTGCCATGTTAACTAACGCCAGTGCTGCAGTGCCGCCGTGTTTACATTAAAAGGCCTGCAGGGACAGGCTATAGACACCAGAACCACTACATTAAGCTGAAGTGGTTCTGGGGACTATAGTGTTTCTTTAATGTGAGGTAAATTAGAGCTTAGTGCCACGAATAATATACTAGATTGCCTACTTACAACCAGATGAGGATGATGATGGGCTCTAGCTGCAGTCTGGCTCCACTGGTCTGGTGCAGAACAGGCTCTCTGGAGGCGGTTTGTAAGTGTGGTCACAAAAATCAATGTTCTGGGAGAACGGGAAGCAGCTCCATTTTTTGGGGGTCCTTTACACAGCTCAAGGTCTGGGTCCCAGGGTCCACCTTCATGTTCCACCAATGAGTTTGTTCACAGGGGGTGGAGTGTGTAGGGGATGTCCTGATATGTGTGTAAGAAATGCATTGTGTGAATCTGTGTTTGTATGTGTAAGGGCTGCAAGGTGTGTTTCTTTGTATGTACGGGATGCAGTGTGTGCGTCTGTAAGGGGTGCATTGAGTGTGTGTACGAATGCATTGTGTGTTTCTGTGTGTGTGCAGGGATGCATTGTGTGTACCCAAGTTGCATTGCTTGTGTATGTGTGTGTCTGTGTGTGTGTGTAATGCATTGTGTGTTTTTTCTGTGTGCAAGGGGTGCATTGTGTGTGTATGTGATGAATGTCAATCTCTCCTCCAGCTCCACTTCCTTCTCCTCCTCCCAATTTCT